AACATTTTCGCTCAGTTTTTTAAATCCAATTATTCCATTAACTCACATGCTAACATTGACTATCCTTTTAAACTATGTCCAATGAACTCAATATCTCCCGATGATGTAGTAGTTTATCTTAAATCCTTAAAGCTGTCCTGTTATGGTCCTGACCAGATCCCTACATGTATTCTTATAAATTGTTCTGATTACCTTTATGAGCCGTTAACAGCGTTATTTAATTTGTCTCTTAAAGAGGGCGTTTTTCCAACTATATGGAAGGAATCGTTCATAACCCCGTTACATAAAAGCGGGTGCAGATCTTCAGTGGAGAACTACCGGGGAATAGCTAAGCTTTCTGCAATTGCTAAATTATTTGAAGCAATTATAACAAATCAGTTGACGCATTTATTTCTTCTAGCATTTCATATAGTCAACATGGATTTTGCAAGGGCAAATCCACTTCTACAAATTTACTTGAATTAACATCCTATACAGTGTTGCCGCGAAACATTTTTAGCGGTAGCTAAATTCAGGCTAAAAAAGGGCTAAAAAAGAGCTAAAAATCGTCGTTGTGGCTAAAAATGGTAGCTAAATTTTTTTACCTACATATAAATATATAAGTATACACGCAAACATTTTCTATAAGTAATGATATAGAAAAACAATGAACTCTGGAAAGAATTAATATTTTATTCAACAAAAAAACTTGTTGTGTAACACATAAAGCATATTAAGGGCCGCCAACTTACCTATTTTAAAGTATAGTTAAATCGTTAATGGATAAGATAACGGCCCAGAAACGTAAAAAACATATATACATTATACATATGTTATTAATTAATTAATTTCTTACATAAACAAAAAAATGAGATCACATTAAGAATACATAAGTACTAGAATCATATCTATATACAGTGTCGGACAATACTAAATAACTTAAATAATTTCAAACTATGCTTCGAAAAATATCCATTTGTAAAAGAAATTTTTAAAATATTATGTTATAATTTACAAAGAATTAAAATGTCGGTGCTTTATTATTGTCCGGCGCTGTATGTATCAAACAAACAAAAGAGTATTCATTTAATGAACTCATAGTAAAATAATTTAATCTATAAACATTTTTTTTAACACATTAAATATCTATATCTATATCAATATAATCATCGCTAAGCGATTCTTCGTCGTTACAATTTTGCTCATTTCTCATTAACCTGACGATATTATCTGTAATTTCAAAAAAAAAAAAAAAAAATTCATGACAACATTTCTGTACATTTTTTAAGCCATATCTTACAGTTAATAAAGCGTTTAACATTGCAAAATTAATTTTATTTCTGTGCTTATTTTTAACGAAATTTATTATAGAAAACGTCCTTTCAACTTCTGCGTTACTTAAAGGTAAAAGAAGCAACCGATAAACAAACTTTTTCCACCACTTAAGCTAGCGACACAATGAACAGTTTATTTGCCTTGAAGGAAAGGCGTTCGCTTTATAAGCGAAGAGTTAAATTCATGAAAATCATATAAAAAATTTTAATGTCAATGATGAATAAATTTTGAAAAGGGCTAAAAAAAGGGCTAGGGGCAATTTCAAATTTTTGTGGCCAAAAAAAGAATTTAGTAGCCAAATTTAGCCACCAAAGGGCTAAAACGGCAACACTGATCCTATATCTCAAAAGCATTTAGTGAAAGCAAAACTGTTGATGTTATATATACTGACTTCAGTAAAGCATTTGACAAAGTGTGCCACTCGTTGCTCATCCATCAACTTGATCTTCTTGGTCTTCCACCTAATTTTCTACGTTGGATCTCTTCATACCTCTATGATAGATCACAAAGGGTAATGTTTAAAAATACTATCTCGGACATCATTAATGTTACTTCAGGAGTCCCTCAAGGTAGCCACCTAGGCCCGGTTCTGTTCTTGCTTTTATAAACGATATTTCTACAGATATAAAATTTTCCAAAATTTTAATGTATGCAGATGATGTAAAGCTTTATAAATCGTACGTTTCAATTAAAGAAAGGTCTTTGCTACAATCAGACTTACACAGCATGGCTTACTGGTGTCAAGTAAATCTCATGCCTCTAAATCTTAAGAAATGTAAAGTAATGTGCTTCTCGCGACGAGCTGTTCATCCTGCTTATTATACAATAGGTAACCATAACCTGGAACAGGTATACAATTTTGTGGACCTTGATATCACAATGGATCCTAAGCTTAATTTTAATCTTCATTTTAATGTGACAGTCAACAAGGCTAAAGGTGTACTTGCATTTGTGAAACGATGGTCAAAAGAATTTTGTGGCCCTTATATCACTAAAACCCTGTTTACAACATTAGTTAGGCCAATTCTGGAATACGGTTCGGTGGTTTGGAATCCAAGGTATCAAATTTACTCCGACAAGATAGAATCAATTCAAAAACGATTCCTACTTTTTGCTTCAAGAAATTTCCGTTGGGATTCTCAATATAACCTTTCACCTTATACGAGCCGATTAAAACATATGAATCTTCCTACACTTTCCAACCGCAGGCAAATGCTTGGTACAATATTTATAGTTAAATTACTGACAGGCTCAATTTCAAGTCCGCTTCTTCTGGGCGAAGTTAGCCTTAATGTTCCCTCCCGGGTATCAAGACACTTTTGTCCCCTATTTCTGAAAGCTTGTAAAACTAATTTTGAATTGCACGACCCACTCCGTTGCTTATGCCAGGATTTTAACTCTCATTCCAGCACGTTTTTGTATATCTGATCCGCTTTTCAGCATTAAGAAATCGATACTGTCCTCTCTCAATAAATGAATCATTAAAATAAAGACATAAAATCGGCTGATGAATTTAGTTCTGTAGCTGAACAGTTTTAGATCTCGACACTTAACAAACTCCTGCCTATCGTGACTCGGCGCAAAAATTGAAAATACTGGTTTCCGTACGTCACGCGGACTGCGCCCCCCGTGCGGATGGGCGGGAATGGAGGGTAAAAACCGTTGGGATTATTATTAGTATTATTAAAAATCTAATAGGCTACAAAACTGCATACTCAGCTTCGTAGAAATCTAATTAAAAAGCTCAAAATTATGATGAAACTTTGTCAAATTTTGCTAATTTTTATACAAAATTTTAAATTTTTACTTACATAGTCTTTCAGTTTCATAAAAAATAATAAACATTAAACAATCGAAAGGGGAATACCCAAAGAATGCTTAAATGTCTCTTTCCTGTTTATACTTTCGCCACTTATATTTTTCATGTCCATGTTTTTTTAAGGGAATTAGTGGTGACAGGTAATAAGGTCAATGGAAATAAGGTCAATTGACATTATTACCTTTTCAAAAGCGAAATAAAGTCAAGAAAAGTTTGGAAATAAAGTCATTGACGCTATTTCCTCATTCAAATGGAAATAGCGTCAACAATGGTTAAAGTATGTCGATTCATAGAAAAAAATTTTGTTCTTACAATAAAGATTGCCCCGTAAGTGTTGTTTTTTAATAGATGAAAAAGGTTATTGCCAAATCCTCAGTGTTGTGATATTAATCCACACACAATCATGAACTACCACCAATTGATTTTATTTAAAAAATTTAAATTACGAATATGTAAAAACGCACAGCTGGAATACGAGAAATATTTGAAGAAAGAGTGTAGAAATGATCCACAACTTGCAAAACATGTTTCATTTCCACACAAATAAAGCGAACACTATCAAATTGAAGAAACAGTCCATGTCCAAAAACCCCGGAGGAACCCTGAAAGAATTATGTGTTTTAAATTAGCATATTTTGAACGAATTCGGAATGTCTAAGGTGAAAAAGAAACCAACCTTTCTATAAGGAAACAATGTCTGTCTCCGCCAGCAATTTGTGACGACATCATTTAAAAGCAGCTAAGGAGGCGTAGCGTGACGTGGTGTGCGCGCCGGTCGCGCGGCGCGCGCGGTGTGGCGCGCTGACGGGGGCCGCCGCCAAGCTAAGCAAATTTAATGTTTGAAAGAGAAATAATGTCAATGGATTTTATTTCGTTTTTAAAAAGGTAATAATGTCAATTGACTTAATTTCGCACCAGGGTGGGAAATAAAGTCAATTGACCTTATTTCCGTTGATCTTACTACCTGTTACCGAGTTAGTATTATTTTTTTACCTCCCTTTTATTAGCTCGGGATGTAACTATGTAATATTGATGCGCCTAAAAGATGCAGCGATTTCTATTCTCAAGTTACATACCTGATGACAGTACGAATGGAAATTATAACAGCGGGGTTTTAGTTTTTTAAACTTTTATTTATATTTAATTTAACTAAAATCAAGTTAGAATTGTTTATTTAAAAAAAAACTTAACAAATCATTATAAAAGCCTTAAAAAACTGTGACAACGATGACAGAAAACAAGGATGCTGCGTATGTTTATGGCTCCCTTATATTCTATGTCGTTTGTGATAACGAAAGTGCTGCCACGTTTCTACGAAAAATTGTTTTTGGGCCAGAGTACAAGGATACTCTTATTAAATTAATAAGAAAACACTGAAAAATTGGGACTTAACTGGTACAAATATGAAAAATCGGGACACTTATACGTCCCGACTTTTAAAAAATATTCAGCGGGACAATTTTCTCAAAATTGGTACTGTCCCGCCAAAATCGGTACGACTGGTCACCGTAGCTATATTGCATTTGTTCCATGGGTTAAAATATTCTACTAAATGATGCCTTGTGAAATTTTACTATACGTGCCCTAGGTACATATTTCGCTTCGATATGAATTTTAACCATTTATACACTTATTCTAAAAACATTCAAAAAAAAATTTGCAAACTTAATATGGCAATACCAAAATATTGCTTGACAACGCAAAAATGCTTCGAGGTTTTACCATCCTGAGTTGGAATCATGGATCTGAAATTGTTGCACAGGAAATGGCCCTAAATTTAAATTGCGCACAATTGACTGCAATATTTACTTTTATTTGCTGCACACTAATTCATAATTTTTCGCTCTTTGGAATTTTGTCTTTCTAGGTGGAAATGTCGGCAATAAATTCAGCATCGATATGCATACGGGCGAATTGACTGCACGCCATCTCGATCGTGAGCAGTATTCACATTATCTGCTTCAGATCCAGGCTCAAGATCGTGGCTCGCCCAAAAATTTCCAAGGTCACTGTAACATAACAGTTCACGTTGAAGATGAGAACGACAACGATCCTAGCTTCGAACAGGCAAAGTATATGGCCAGCATACCCGAGAATACACTGGTCGGTACAAGTGTGTTGCACATAAAAGCGACAGACGCTGATTTGGGTATCAATGCGCGTCTGGTGTATTCGTTGGCCAATGAAACACAATCGATGTTCACGATTGACAGCAAATCCGGCATCGTCACTACAGTGAGGTATGTGTTGTATTAGATTTACAAAAACTTTTTCCAAGAACAAATATACATATATATTTACATATATGTACATAAGAACCAGAGATGCGCGTGAAGAAATTTTGAATCATGTCACTCACAATCACGCAATCAAAAACAAAGTTGTGTCACGCTTAAGCACGCACAATAAATATCGGACTCACGCCACTCACGCCACTCACGCGTGATCACGCTCATAAAACCAAAGTGTTTTTTTTTCTTTTGCAGAATTTAAGATATCCGATTTGTAATTATTTACTTATAGCCCCGCCAGAATGTGTACTTGTACGTCAATAAAGGATCGTACGTAACGTAGAGATACGCCACAATGAAGTTGTTGCGTCTTCAAACAAAAATCAGCTGTTCCTTGAGCCCGCGTACTTGGGGTTTACACAAGTCAATTTTGCAGATACATTAGCAATACATTCACACTTTTTTACTAGGGTATTCACACTTCTCTCGATGTCTTTCATTTCATTTATTAAGCCTATGATATACCAATCTTACAGACTTATCATCTTAACCGTAAATTAGATATTTAAAATATATGATTAGAAAGAAATTTATTCTAGTAATGAACCAAAACGAGATCTCGGGAAAGCGAAGTCCAGATCAAAGCTCCTAGAAATTCTATTAAATTCCATGAGAGCCCTTGAAATGGGGTCATAATTATAATAATTAGCTTTATTTAATTTAATATGAAAAGGGTAATGAGAGCGTAAAGTTCTATACGAAACATTGAAATTTATTTGCTCAAGAACCTCAGGACAGTCAACTAAGCCATCAATAATATCGTAGGATAGTTCCTCGTCACTGTCTTTGACTTTTCGAAGACAGTTGATTGTCCGGACGCCTACTTTACTCAAACAATGTAACAATTTAAACATATTCTCAATTGTATTGTATTGTGTAAACGCAAGGTTATACAAATGTCAGCATTGCCGGATTTACTTGCGTCAAAAGTTGAGTGTTGGCCAATGTTCGTTGGGTCCGTCGACGCAATGGTTGCCAATCTGACACTCTCTATGCAAACACACACAGTCTACTCAACTGTCAGTTTCATCCTTGAGCGGAACGTACGCAAAGTACCTAGTCTGACGGGGTCATTAGTCATGAAAACTAATTATTGATTGTCTTTGGCGTGCTGAGGAACGTTTGCCTGGTGCCAGAAGTGCTTGCTAAATTCTGCATGCAACTGTAGCGGGTTAAGTTTCCGGTACCTTTTCTGGATATAAGGAAGTGAATCATTGCATTTGAGGCGATAAGATTGTGGCTCTGCTTCGCCTTCACTTTCTGTCAAACGAAAATTCTTCCATTTGTCGATTTAAGCTCCTTTATTCAACAACAACTGAAATAAGGTCAATTGACACTATTTTGCATACTGGCGCGAAATCAAGTCAATTGGACATTATTACCTTTTCAAAAGTGATATAAAGTTAAAAAAAAATTGGAAATAAAGTAAATGATGCTGTTTCCTCATTCAAATGGAAATAGTCAACAATGCTTAAAGTATGTCGATTCAAAGAAAAAAATGTTCTTGCATCGTACGTGAGATATGAATGTTGTTACAATAAACAACTTTGCCCCGTAAGTATTTTTTCCATAGATGAAAGAGGTTATTATTTCCAAATCAATAGTGCTATTAATCAAAACAGAATCTTGAACCACCACTAATTGATTTTATTAAAAAAAATTTTAATTACGAATATAATAAAAACGCCACGCGAAAAACCAACGCAAAAAGAGCTTGAATACGAGAAATATTTGACGAAAGAAGAACTGGCAAAATATGTTTCGTTTCCACAAAAATAAAGCGAACACTATTAAATTGAAGAAACAGTGGATTGCCGCCATTCCCAAAAACCCCGGAGGAACCTAAAAAGAATTGTTTTTAAATTAGCATATTTTGAACGAATTCGGAATAACGCTGCGTTTACATAAGACAATTGAGAATATGTATTAGTTGTCAAATCGTTGTGTAAAGTAGGCGCCCAGAAAATTATAAAGACAATACATTTTTCAGCAAACGCCGTTATTGTCGTTTGACGTGAATTTCACATTATTTACTAAAATATCCAAACACAAACCACTTTTTCATAATACTGTGATTTTTTGTGATTGAACCCATCTGGGACTTACCTGTAATCACTGATGTTAATTCTGATTTGTAATTTAAAACTGTAAATTCTTCTGTCAAGCGTTATACAAGGTCAGCATTAGTATCACCGATAACAGTTAAATGAGGTGGATTTTTATATCAGAATCTCATTTTTGTGAAAAGTGTGCAGTTAGTTATGTGAAATATATAAAAACTTAAATTAAAAGTATACAAAAAATAAATCTACCTGCATTACAGCACGGCGGTGTGGCACGCGGTCGCGGGCCGCCGCGAAGCTACGCAAATTTAATGTTTCAAAGAGCAATAATGACAATGGATTTTATTTCGCTTTTGAAAAGGTAATAATGTCAATTGACTTTAGCTCGCACCAGTATGCTAAATAGGGTCAATTGACCTTATTTCCGTTGATCTTGTTACCTGTCACCGTTTTTAGTGTGTAAGTTAACACATAATGGCCCGTACTTATAGTCAAAATAAAGTCGACTGTAAAGTTAAAAGCAGCTTTTTGACATAACTTTCAAGAGGATATCTGTCAAAGAAACCTGCTTTTAACTTTAGAGTCGACTTTATTTTGACTATAACTACGAGCCAAAAAGTTTATTTAGCCAATCTTTTAAATTCCTTGAGTTAAGTAATTTTTTGAAGAATGTGAAACTATATTAAATTGTTGCATTTCCTGCTTCACAATCAAAGGGTGCTAAATCGAGAACTAGCACAACAAATTAAACTTAGTTAGGGACACGATATCGAGCAGAAAGTATCGATATGGTATTCATTTAAAGTATCGCTGTAAAAATATTGGGTACCCATTCGATATCCCAAATATCGACACCAAATACAAAAAATCAAATCTGAATATTGGTCTCGTTTTCTAATAGTTAAATTCAAAAGTACATATTGAATAGAGTTGAGCACTTTTCTTTTGAGTGAACCGTTCAGTTGTAGTTCGCTTACCTTAGTGAACTAGTTCTTTAGTTCAATTGCCGAATTATCATATTATTATAATACGTATTGCATACAAAACAAAAAACCTAGAAAATCACATAAAAATTATGCAGCCTTTTTCAATCGACGGCATATATTTGAAGTAATTGTACTCTTCTTGGCATTATTGTTATTAGGCAAAAATATTTAGTTACATAGGTAGCATATTTAGTTTTAACATCGTTTGAATCATGTACAGAGTTTCCGCATAAACAAAGTACAAATAAACAAGTATATAAAACAAAAACTTTAACAAATTCATAGTGGCTAAATGAGTTCGGCCGTTGCCCCTTTTTCGACCGTGAATGGCTCCGTGACAGCAGCAACATTGCCTAATCGCCTACTCACCACGGCCCGTTCCACCCACGTACACATAATACACCTACACACACACATATACACATGAATTGTATTTACACATACACACACACATGAATTACAACATAATATGAAACAAGACACAATTTTGCGAATGTCATATCGACCAGACGTGTTCTGCGCTATAACCCCGCTAAAGCAAATTTAATAAAGTGTGTTAATATTCCCCCAAAAGGTTCTACTTGTTTATTTAAAAAAAAAGTTCGAAGCTAGTGGTGAGTGTGCCCCCCAAAGTGTGTGCCCGTGGTGTACGACTGGACGGCACCTATAGAGAAACAAAAAAAAATTAATAAACATAAAAAATATACATTTACAGTCCACAAATTAAAACCACAAACAAAGTTTAACAATTAAAAAAATTAATAGGTATATTACCAAGTGAAAACTGAACGCAAAAGAAAATGTGTACTAATTTAACATTCAAAAAGTTCCATAGCTACCACATACTTAAATAAAAAGTGAAGAAGAGCGTACATGCATACATTTATAAACTTTAACATTTTATTCCGGGCGCGTCGCGTAACACTTATACACACTAAAAACAATAATAATTTCACATTAAACATCGGTACAAAATCAGGCGCGAAATAATTTAATGTAAAAACATAATTCACCCAAAAAACAACACTATAGAAGGAAGCACTTTATCGCAGTTAGGCTCAAC